GAAATCTAATATATAAAATTTTCGTGTCACAGTTTTCGTTGCCATACTCCTCCGAAACGGCTTGACCGATTTTGATGAAAGTTTTTGTGCTTATCCGGTACCTATGAGAATCGGCCAACATCTATTTTTCATCCCCCTAAATGTTAGGGGTAGTACACCCTAATTTTTTTTTCTATTTTTTAGACAAAGTTTTTAATTTCTATTTTTTTATGATACAACATACAAAAATACATACAATCCTCAATTTTCACCCTTCTACGAAATTATTTATATGGCAAAACAACTTTTGCCGGGTCAGCTAGTTATTTTTATAGATTCTCAGTACCAGCAAGGAAGAAAGGGAATATAATTATGCGTTTTCTTTTCGTAAGCAAATGTACATAAAAATACTTGTAGATATTACTATATTAAACAGGTATGTAAGAATCGTAGCATTTGGCGTTCCATAGTCTCTGCCTACCCCCATTTGAGACAGGCGTGAGGTTATGTATTATTGTATGTATGTATGTATACTTGTAGATAGATAGATAGATTTAAAATGGGCAAAAGTCAGAGTCCCATAAGTAACTTGAAACAAAATGGCCACCGTACACCAAACTCACGCGCAATCACGTCCATATTTTCGCACGCCTCCACTCGACGAGATAAAATGACATTTTTACACGATGCCATACAATAAACGCATTTACTTAGACACAATGTAATACACACATTCACGGCTAAACACCAAGAAGGTCGAATTTAAAATAATTACTTCTATTATCTGTTGTAATCTTGTCTATGAGACGACCTCTTTATTGGCGCGTTCTTGTTTCGAATTCGTTTTTTTTTCTCTAATTGTTGTTCAGCGCTTTGTGTTTTGCGAAATTTGTTTTAAGCGGCTTTTCTTTGTTTCAAATTAGACTACTTCTATCTGACTTTGGTTTCGGTCGGTACCAGGGTATAAAGTAGCTTATATTATTATGTCGCGAGCGTCGATTTTTCCATAACTTTATCAAAGGATTAATTTTGAATGTTGATAGTTCATCCATACAAAAAATGCCAGATGACAATTTTATTCTACGGATCAAAATTATAATTATGTTGCTTGAAAAATCAACCCTAAGAGCAATATAACACATATTCATACACAATCACTTTGGGAAAAACTTACAAAGATGACAATTAAATAACAGGTTTTCAAATAACCTAGCCTATAAGCTTTTTTTTCAACCATTTTTTAACCCTATTAACAAAAAAAAACATTTTATATGAATCTATATTAAACTGTCAAACACCAAGCGGTCACCGGTGACCGCAACCTATTGTTCTATAATTGTGTCTATAATGACGGTACTCGACGAGTTAAAATACAATCTCCTATAGTCAAATCTACAGATAGAAAAGTTATTCAAAATCGTTATTAAAACAAAATGTAGCAATATTGAACTCGGCCTATGAATCACTTGCTCTCC